ATGTATCAAGAGGCAATCCACAGGGGATAAAAGCTTGTTTCATAACAAAGACTTTTTGATAGTTAAGAGGAGAAAAAATTATAGCTGCGAAGTCATAAGAAGAAAAGTTTAAAAATTGACATTTTGTCATCAAAAGAACACGAGATTGTAGAAACCTTCCTTCTATGGAAGTATGGCAATGTTTGCTATGAATCTACTGTCCCTTTGGATTTAAGAAGGTACCATGATGGTCACGTTTTGCTCACCCAAAGCTTTGATTAGGGTAGAAATACTATAAGAATTATCCAAGAATTCTAAATACTGCTATGAAAATTGCAGAAATGATATGATATTCGTGAGATGAGGACTGGGCAAGGAGAGTTTCATTTCGAAGCTTTTCTTCTTCAAGTCGCTTCTCCTCTTCAAAGCGCTCAGCTTCTTGTTTTTTTGCTTCCTTTTCCAGTTCTTCCTTATGTCGGCGTTCGGCTTCTTGCTTTTCGCGTTCTTCTCGTTCGAGTTTCTTCGTTTTTGGATCTGAAAATACTGTTTTCGAGAAAAAATCCAGCAATAACTAAAAATCACATTTTTTGAAAGAGTGGGATCTAGCTTTATCCTGTTAACAAATCTTTGATTGATCGAGTTGAACTCAATCTTGGAAACACATTTATTGTAATTTAACTAAGCGTTAGCTTAAGTAGGCGAAAAGTGGTTCCATTCGCTTCGATACAATCATGGAGTCCCAAGTACATGTAAAATTATTTGATATCAAGGAAATGAATCGGTAAATTTTGCAGCTAAAATAAATTTAAGATTCCTATCTTGGCTATATGTGCATCAGTTAAGCTGCTTAAAAATTAAATGCTCAATATTTCAAATTTTGGTTCGATCATTTGAGAGTAGGTAGTGGTGTTCAAGTATTTTTGCGTGGAAAATAACTTGTAACTTTTCAATTTTTATGAAATCCATTGTGTAGCTACCCCCTTATTCCTATATAAAAATTAGCATAAGTAGAATTCTTGAAAAAAGATAAATAGAATAATTGAAGATGTTTCATAGAAAATTACTCTCCTCTATTAGAAACTGACGCTCGTTTGCCCCGCATTCAAAATGAAAATTGAGTGATTGAGCTTGTTCGGATATTACGAGTGATCGAGTAATAAGCGGTAAAAATTTTCCATGAAGCCTCCAGCGAGTCCACCTACCTTTGTAAGGCTCATCAGCTGCTGGAGCTAGGGTAGTTGTCATTTTCTTGCCACCCAATCTTTCCTTCATTTGTTGAATCCATTCTTCTTTTCCACTGGATACCAACAACACTTTCGAGCCATAGTGCTCCTCTGGTGGAGTCTTGCTGATTGCTGAATCGACTGTGATTTGGTTCAGAGTGATCGAAAACAC